CGTAGCCGTATATATATATTATATATATATATATATATATATATATATATATATATATATATATATATATATATATATATATATATATATATATATATATATATATATATATATATATATATATATATATATATATATATATATATATATATATATACACACACACACACACACACACACACGCGCGCGCGCGCAGCGCAAGTCATCTTAAACTACAAGAAAGAAGTCCATTTAACACAAAATCACTGCACAGAAAAAACAAACCCACAAAACCCCTGCAACCCACTGACCTCCCCCCCCCTCCCTTACCTTACCCCTGACCCAACCTAGACCCATCGCGTCCCTTAAAAAAAAAAAAAAAAAACAAAAAAAAAAAAAAAAGGTAAAATATGTCAACCTCCATGCTATGTCCCTCGAGAGTGCGTTCCTTCGGACGTTCCCTCGGCGCCCTCGGCGTTTCCCTCGCATTTCCCTCGGCGTTTCCCTCGCATTCCTCGCGTTCCCATCGGTGTTCCTCGGCGTTCCCTCGTTTCTGGCGTTCCCTCCCTCGGCGTTCCCGGCGTTCCCTCGGCATTCCCTCGGCGTTCCCTCGGGTTTCCCTCGGCGTTCCTCGGCGTTTTCCCTCGGCCATTCCCTCGGCGTTCCTCGGCGTTCCCTCGCGTTCCTCGGCATCCCTCGGCGTTCCGCGGTCGGCGTTTCCCTCGGCGCTCCCTCGGCGTTCCTCGGCGTTTCCCTCGGTGTTCCCTCGGCGTTCCCCTGCGGCGTAACCTCGGCGTTCCCTCGGTGTTCCGCTCGGCTTCCTCGCGTTCCCTCCCCTCGGCGCTCCTCGGCGTTCCCTCGGCATTCCCTCGGGCGTTCCCTCCCTCGGCGTTCTCCTCGGCGTTCCTCGGCATTCCCCGGCGTTCCCTCGGTGTTCCCTCGGCGTTCCTCGCATTCCCTCGGCGTTCCTCGGCGTTTCCTCGGTGTTCCTCGCATTCCTCGGCGTTCCCTCAGCGTTCCTCGCGTTCCCTCGGCGGCTCCCTCGGCGTTCCCTCGCGTCCCTCGCGTCCCTCGGCGTTCCCTCGGCGCTCCCTTCGGCGTTCCTCGGCGTTTCCTCGGCGCTCCCTCGCGTTCCTTCGGCGCTCCCTCGGCGTTCCCTCGCATTCCCTCGGCGTTCCTCGGCGTTCCTCGGCGTCCTCGGCGGCTCTCGGCGCGGCGCTTCCTCCCTCGGCGGCTCTCGGCACCCCTCAGCGTTCTCGCGTTCCCATCGCGTTCCTCGGCGTTCCGCTCGGCGTTTCTGGCGCTCCCTCGGCGTTCCCTCGGCGCTCCCTCGGCGTTCCCTCGGCGTTTCCCTCGGCGCTCCCTCGGCGTTCCCTCGGCGCCTCCCTCGGGCGTTCCTCGGCCATTCCCTCGGCGTTCCCCTCGGCGCTTCCCTCGGCGTTCCCTCGGCGTTCCCTCGGGCTCCCCTCGGCGCTCCTCGGCGTTCCCTCGGCGCCCCTCGGCGTCTCGGCGCTCCTCGGCGTTCCGGCGCTCCCTTCGGCGTTCCCTCGGCGCCTCGGCGTCCCTCGCGCCCCTCGGCGTTTCCCTCGGCTCCCTCGGCGTTCCTCGGCCATTCCCTCGTCGCGTTCCCTCGGCGCCCTCTCCGCTCCCGGCGTTCCCTCGGCGTTTCCTCGGCGCCCTCGGCAGTTTTCCCTCGGCGTTTCCTCGGCCCCCGGCGCTCCCTCGCGTTTCCCTCGGCGTTTCCTCGGCGTTCCCTCGGCGCCCCCTCGGCGTTTGTTCCGTGTTCCGCTCGGCGTTCCCTCATCGTTCCCTCGGCGTTTCCCTCGGCGTTCCTCAGCGTTCCCTCGGCGTTGTTCCGTCGGCGTTTCCCTCGGCGTTCCCTCGGCGTTCGCGTCGGCGTTGTTTCCCTCGGCGTTTCCCTCGGCGTTCCCTCGGCGTTCCCTCGGCGTTTGTTCCCTCGGCGTTCCCTCAGGCGTTCCCTCGGCGTTCCCTCGGCGTTCCCTCGGCTTCCCTCGGCGTTCCCTCAGCGTTCGCCCTCGGCGTTCCCTCAGCGTTCCCTGCGTTCCCTCGGCGTTTTCCCCTCGGCGTTTCCCTCGGCGCTCTGCCCTCGCGTTCCCTCGGCGCTCCTCGGCGTTCCCTCGGCGTTCCCTCGCAGACAGCCGGGGAGGGTTTGTCTCTCCTTCCCCGCCGCGCGAGGTCCCTCCGGCAGAAGAACGCTGGCAAAGACTCCAGAAAGGGAAGCCGTTTCTTCTCCATGCTTGCGCCACAGCATGGCGTTCGAGCAAGCACTCCTCGCCCCCACTACGTGCTTCGTGGGGCGGCGTGGAGGGGGGCGTGGGGGGGATGGGGGGTACCCTAACGTATGCATGGCTGTGTGTGTTCTTGGCGAGCGGGTGGGAACAATGGGGGGGAGGGGGGGTACCCTAACGTATGTATGGCTGTGTGTGTGTTCTTGCGAGCGGTGAACAATGGGGGGAGGGGGGTACCTAACGTTGTATGGCTGTGTGTGTTCTTGCGAGCG